GTTATCCCCCCTTTCCTTCCAATTTCTGGCTTATGTTTTTTCTTTGGTTTCTTTTAGGGAAGACAGTGTTGGGACGGACCCGGTAGTGTTGGGAGGTAGGGAAAAACTACTCCGGGCTCTATACTCAAGGGACCACATGGTGCCAGGGATTGAACCGAGGTTGACTGCATGCAAGGTACTATGCTTAACCACTGTTCTATCTCTCCAGCCCTCTCCTTAGATTTTGTTTATTTGGTTGCAGAAGGCTGGGCAATACTTGACCACACACTATCACGGACCACACATTCTCTCTCTTGCCTGCCATTGACTTCCATTAATAGATTCTGGTGTTAAGAAGCCTGCTCAAGGTCTTCATGGTATTTAGACTTTTGCAGAATTTGATCTTGAGAAGTTTGGTCTTTGGAAGTATAATTCCTTATTAATATCAATTTGGATCTGCAGTAGAAGGTATGCTATGTCATCTGCCTTTACTTCCCAAAGGCATACACGTGCATTCTGTTGTGACTTTGACAATGCCCTTTAGGTCACAAATATGGATAAACAAGTGAGCTTTTTGTTGAGGATCTGATGTATGCACTGACTATGCTCTGAGGCAGATATAATCCCCATTTTTACAGTTAAGAATACTGAAGAGTAAAGAATTGAAGTGCTGTTCCCCAAAAGCACAGATAGAGAGTGCAGTGGCAAAAGCAGGCCCAGCTTTTTCTGACCCAAGAGCCCAGACTATTTTCCCACTCCATCATTACCTCGAAAATGATTAGTCTCCTCTTCTTCCTTTTGGTAATAGAATACTAAAATTGACTCACATCAGTAGGAATTCCCAAGAAAGAAAGTTCTACAATCTCAGACAATGTTTAACGGCCCTCATGATCAGGAAATTATTCGCTTATGTAACGAGTATCCCTCCCAACAACGTGAAAGTTCATGTCCTCTTGACTGAGTTTTTCACTCAGAGCTGTTTCTTGGCAGCATTCCTGATATCAAAACAGCCGTAGAGATCCTAATATTACACTCCAGGAGGTCTTGGACTTGTTGACCTCTGCTTGTGAGTGTTCTCACTGGCTCCTTTGAACACAACCTACCCCGCCCCGGACAGTGCTGAGTTGGGTAAGTCTCTTGTGGAGTGAAAAAGTGACACTCAAGAACATACTGGTTGTTACATGGAGAGGAATCAAATTAACTACTCAGGGTGCCTCTAGAATTGACAAGAGGAATATGGTACCACCTTTCTCATTTGTCTGCATATTTCTGTCTCCATTTTTAAAATTATTGTATCATTTGGTTGAAGGGTATTTAATATTACTGAGTCTTCTATTCCATACCCCACACCCATTCAAACTTCAAATATCCATTGTCTCTGAATTTGTGTGCCATATAAAAAATCCATTCATCTCATCTTCTCACTTCTTTCAGGGCTAAGCTGAGAACACCCACAATTTCTTGTGTTCATGGCAAATCTATGGCTGAATGTATTTCTCTCCCTAAAAAAGTGTACTTGCTCCTTAATCAAGGCATTCAGTTCCTTTACACCAAAGTAGTAGGGCCTTTACAATATCATCTGATATTCTTTCTGAAGGATGCATATCTGCCCTCTTGAAACCCATTAGGTAATACAAGAAATAAATCCAAGTGAAAAGACTGCAAAGAAGAGCTGGAGCAATAGTATAGAGGGTAAGGCATTTGCTTTGCATGCATCCAACCCAGGTTCAATCCCTGGCACCTTTTATGGTACTCAAACTCTGCTGGGAATTATCTCTGAGTAGTGAGCCAGGAGTAAGCCTGGAACACTGCTGGCTGTGGTAAAAATGAAAAAAAAAGACTATAAAGAGCATCTTCTCTTGGTACTTTAGGTGTGATTTTTATGAACCTTGAGCAACCCGCATAGACCTGTATCCAATAGCAACTGTTAGAATTATTGAAGGAAAAGGGCTACACAATTCTGGATTTCCTGCCACACATCTCATACTCACGTAGCATCTAGTTTCACATCTCATTATACTTGCTTCTATCTGTTTGAAAGCATTCAAGTTATCTCAATGCTATCCCCACAAAGTCTTAGGCAAATAGAAACCTTCAGAAAGCCCTCTTAGGAGTTGACTAAGTGCCATTCTGGAGGAATGGGACTTCAAGGATAACAGAAAATTGGAACCTACCTGATGATTTGCCTTTATATATAGTACATACTATTTTGTTGGGACCTAACACTTGTTTTGTGGAGAATGCACAGAATTTATTGTGGGTGAGAGTTAGCTAGAAATTACTAAGCTTCAAGAAAGTGGTAAATTGTGTGAAGTGAGGAAGGTGGTTAGATTATAGCCTCTGCATGGCTTTGCCTGATAACAGCCTGTTAATATTTTATCTGCAATCGCATCATAGCATGTAGTGAGCCACCACTTAAAGAAAAAGGGAGCGATAACCTGCTGGACTTCCTGTTTGAGGTTTTTTTCCCGTTGAGATAATACAACTTCTCATTAAAGGTAGGAGCCGCTTGGGCCGGGAGATCAAGCTGGATGAAGGCCAGGTGTCAATCAACTGCGGAGAAGCATATGTATATTCTAGTTTGAGGCCTTGGCATTCCAGAGTGGGTATCTAATAGCATAAATCAGTCCTCTTGTCTACATATCCAGACTGATTGGAAAGGAACAGTTATCTCAGCAAGGCTTTGTTTCTGTGCCACGAGAACTGTACTCATTCTCTTCTTGTTGTATTTTGGGGCTAAACCCAATGGTCTTCAGGACTTACTTCTGGCTCTTTGCTCAGGGATAACTCCTTGCAGGACTCAGGCACCATACATGGTGTTGAGTATTGAAACCAGGTTGAACACATGTAAGGCATTTGCCCTACCTGTTATACTCTCAACCCAGCCCTCTCTTTTCAGATGTCTTTTAACTACTGTTTTATCTCTGGTCCTGAATTTTTTCTCAGGTTGCCTCAATAGGCAATAAGTCTGCTCCATAATAGTTTTGGAGACATATTTAAGAGAAGGAGATGAGGGGAGAAGGGCTGGGACCCAGGTCACTGTCTCCATTAGCACTACTTTGATGGATATGCAAAGGAGTTCTGGGTATGTTAAGAGCATAATATTACACCTTAGTCCCTCCTGGTCCCACTATTTCTCCATTTCCTGTGGTCTTTTGTCTAGCAGCAGTTTTTTGGGACAGTCCTGTACGCAGAAACTCAAATAGTGCTAGACCTTCATTTCATATAAATGGAGACTTGAGTTGAACTCCACAACTTTTTAAGAAATGAGCTCCTGATACTCTTAGCTTTGACTCTTTATCCAGGTCTCTAACAGAACAGACCATGTTGTTCCTTGTACCACAGTGAGATGTGCATATCTTATCTCCTCTATCTCAGCTATTGGTTCATACAAGGTATAGACTTTACCGTGTTTTCCCTTTTTGCCCTCCCACCCTTTAGCACATTGCCTGACATGGAGAGTATAGTTGGCAGAGGTTGTCTAGATGACAGGCTAGAGAGAGGGATGAATGGATGTTTTGCTGGAGGAAGCTCTTTCAGAAAGTCTGAGCTTGGCTTGCTGCAAAAAGAAAAAAACAGTTTTGACCTTTTTCCCCCCATTAACCATCACATTAGTGGTAGGTCACTAAGGGCCCAAGGGGGAGAAAACGTGAGTCATACTGTTATCAGAGATATGAGGGAGGGCTGAAATATCTCACCTTGTGCAAGGGTCAGAGCAGTGCAGTAGGGGCAAAACACAATGGCCTTTTTAACCCCTTGGTCCATGGTTAATCTAAATTACTTTATGATGGGAGGCAATGGGGTGAGCGAAACACTGTTCAACTTGGATACAGATGCAGGAAGAGTTCTAGGAAACTATTTAGACATAGCTTTTCTTGCTCAACCAGCCCAAGAGTACAGTTGCACTTTGTCAGGTATACTCAGGTTTCTCTAGCTGAGAATGAACTTCTCACTTCTGTCATAGAATCTTTCCAAATTATATGGAAGGAATACTTATCTCCCAAACAGCATCATCCTAAGAAGAAAGGATACTCTTAGCTCTATTTCTCTCCAATGTGCTTATATTCCAGTAGCAGCAAGCAGGACTGCAAAACTCTGAAGTGCAGCAGTTGCCATGACACCTTCTGAGAGAACTTCCCAGCCCCATATTATGGTGGAAAGAATTTCGAAGTTGAGGAACTCTGGTCTCCATGAGTATAAGGAAATGACTATTCTGATATTCCATTTGGCTACCTAGAATACACCTGCATTGTTGGGGTATTTGGAGAATGCAATGAAATCATAACCATGAAAGTTATTTGGCTACCAAGAAAGGGCATCATCAAAACCCATACTGCTGCCCCACTCATCAGTGCAGAGTTAGAAAGAAACATGCCTGCCACCCTTCAGAGGCCCCACTTAGTAACTCTGCGTGGCTCTTGATGTCATATCAGGGACATGACTTATCAAGCTTTGGTCCATAGAGCCTTTACTCTCCATCCATTTTTTTTGCCTTTTTGGGTCACACCCGTCATTGCACAGGGGTTTCTCCTGGCTCATGAACTCAAGAATTACTCCTGGAAGTGCTCGGGGAGAACATATGGGATGCTGGGAATAGAACCCAGGACGGCCACATGCAAGCCAAATGCTATCTGTGCTATCGCTCCAGCCTCTCCTCTCCATCCTTATTCCTATCTATTACCACTCACTGTAATCGGGCTTGGAAATGTCAGGATCCTAGCCTCTGCATCAAATAGGTCTCATTTTAGGAGTGTAACCATAGTGCTGTGTGTACAGGCTTCAGTGGACTGAGGCCCACACGACTTGATTAAGCTGAACCTTGTAGGGTACCTTTATTGTGCTACCACAGTTAACATTGTTATGAATTAGGTTTTGTTCATCCCCCATGAAGTGATAACAGGGTAAAATTGCAGGTCCTCTTAGACTCTCATACCTCCAGCATTAAGGGAATTTGATCCTCGGTGTGTGTCTTAATCAAATGAGGACTTGATGTCCACATCCCTGACACACCATGATGGCAAGCTATGGTCCTCCACAGTAGGAAAGAAAGTTCTAGGTAACACAGTGAATTGGTTCTTCTTACAGTCTCCCACTCATGGGAGACCAGGAGAACTTATATATTTCCAATGTTACTCTACTTGCCTCATTTTCCTTTGGGTGTATAGGGGGAATTTAATAGATCCTTCCTACTGACTATGAATATTATTTGATCTGTAGACTCCTATTTTGTGCATTAGAATATTGGTGAACTTATACCGACTGTGTGACTGGGGAAATCTCTTATGTAAGTCTATGCTTCCTCATCTACTTAATTGCAATGAACAAATTTATTATACCACCTTTATAACAATTTTTAAAAGAATGAAAGGAATTCACACACAGCCATTTAATAAGTTAAGTACTTTGCATGAAAAGCATGAGCCATTAGCAAGATACAAAGGTTAATTTCTCCAGAAAGCGGGACTGGATCTTGGTTTCTTAATGTCTCAAGTAAAAGCCAGAATTTTCTATCCACCCATTGGAGATAAGGACCTTCTTCCATTCTATCCTCCCCTTAGCCCTTTTTTATCCATCATACTTGTCTTATCTGGGCTACCTTGAGTTAATAAAAAACAGTTACTCAAGTAACAAGTGTTTATTAATCACCTACTGTGTGCCCAGAAGCCTTACAGATAGCCTAAAATATGGCCCTTAACCTCCAAGAGTTTACAATACATGTGTAGAATCACAGACACACACAAAGATTAACTTAATCAAAATTTACAAATGATAAGCATCAAAGAAGCAATTTATGCATCGAAGGTTGCAGGGCAGAGGGGTAGGTGAGGAACGGAGTGATCAGAGGTGGCTCAGTGAAGGAAATGGTAATGAGCTTACTCTCCCTGTATGAGGAAGACTTGGCTAAAGAGTAAGGGCCTTGTATTATGCAAGAACAATGTATACATAGGCAAGAAGGCAGAAACATGAAAGGCATCTTAAATCAAATTAAGGGTCTCCTACTAGCACTGAGATTTTTAGGGGTGTACTGGAGTTTGTCAGTAGATGATCATACTTAGGCTAAGGGAAAATTTGCCTGAGACACCTAGCCTAAGCCCCCATCAAAGGAAAAATGGTGTATTGCATGTTCTATAGCTATAACTGTATTTCTACCTGGGAAACATTCTCTATTCTCCCACCCTATGGAAATCCTAGGCCAGTGATGTGCTAGCGCTCAGATTAAGGCTCTAGCACCTTGAACACCATTGCTTCATACTGGAGACCTAAGATGACTTCTAGAAACTGTGGAATGTCTGGCAAAGGTTGGTGGGGAATATACAAAGTATGACAGAGATAATTTGGTGCTGCAATCTTTCAGGGACCATAGAGCTTTGTGGATGAACTCAGGGACCTGACTCATGCTTTAAGCTGATGTTGCACATGGCAGACTCTCTGACCTGAAGAAACACCCACTGGAGCCCCCATCATCCAGTGTCCACGTGCCCAATCAGCATTTTAGATACCAAAGTCCTTTCTCAGACATCAGGGAGTGGTATCATCTTCCCCCACATCTCCCACATTTTCATCCCACAGCCAAGGGATATCTCTAGAAAATACAATTTCCCCATTCCTAAGGAAAGCCAAGTGGAAGCTCTTAGTCTTGCTGTTTAGCAGGAGTGCCCTAAAGGAGGCGGGGTGGGGGGGTGGGGAGGAGGCAGAGCTTCAAGGAAAGTTGGGGCTGCAGCTTCTGAGGCAGTTCCTCAGTGAAGTCAGTCAGCTGCTGCATTGAATATCTGTAATGTCTTCTATGAACAGTCCCCAATATGTGGGCTAGAATACCAACCCACAAGCTTGAGGAAATTTGGACAAATGCCTTTGGCAGTGGTTCTGTTCTTGTTGTTCAGCTGCTTTTTCTCCCTCTCATTTCATACCAAGTTGTTCTAAGTTCGCTTGGACTGTGGGATGATGCTTTTCTGTTTATTCACAAAGCAGTTCAGACAATGTGGAGTCATAACATAACAAGATGGGGATGGACGCGTTGTTACTGGCCGATTGGAGGATTCTTTTTGAGAGGGGATTGTTAATTAAGTCAGAGCAATGCCCATAAAATCCAACAGTCCTCCTTCTCTCTTAGAGAGAGGGTCCTTGATTACAGAGCAGGTCAGTCAGTGGGGTGTGAAGAATGGTTTGTCAGACGAATTCCCAGATGAACCAAATTGCATAGAGGAGCCTCTGTGGTCTGACCCAGCCTAGGAAGTTGGGACTTGGGACTGTGGGCTAGAATTCAAGGCTGGGGATACAAGGCAACCAAGCTGAAGGGAAAAGAAAGGGTGTCTTTGCAAGCATCTTGACAATTCAACCTACGCACTGTCACACCAGCTCCCACTTATGCCTTTGCTTGATCCAGCAGCCACAGTCAGTCTATCCTCAGCAGCACCTTCTGACATCCTCCAGTGGCAATGCCCCTCACCTGTGGCCCTGGCAGGCTGTCCACTGTTTGTCACAGACCCAGCCACCCCCAGCTTTGGCCCCTGGTTCTTCACACATACCCTGTTAGGCTGTAGGAGTTAAACTCATTCTTGGTTTTGGATGGTTGAACAGGCCTTGGAGAGCTCCTAGTGGTGAGGGGCTGAGCCTGGTAGGCGTCATAGTAGTTGGGGCGATTTCGCTGGGATGGACAGGAAAAGCAGAGGATGATTCCACCTCCCAGGGAGAAGAGGGAGGAAATAATGCCCAAGTAAAGTGCCTCTCCAATTTCAAATTTCATGCTGTCAGGAACCAGTGGGGAGTAGAAGTCCCGCAGGATTCCATGAAGATTCCAGGCAACCGGGATGAAGCCCAAAAGGCCCCCAAGGAAGAATAAGACTCCGCCCACCACAGCCACCTTGTCTTTGACGTGGGAGTTCTGGCAGAAGACTGTGCATCTCATGCCGACCACAGAGATAATGCAGGCCAGTGAGGAAATGGCGCTGGACGTCACCATCATGGCCTGGGCTGCCTGGATGTCGGCAGGCAGGCCTAGAAGGGTGCTGTAGATATCACATTGGGTGATGCCTGTGCTATGGGTGGCACACTCCATCCAGAGACCCTTGGAAAAGCCGACTGCTGTCACAATGCTAGCACCAACGTAAGAACTTGTTCGCCAGCTGGGAAGCAGCATGGCCACCACCGTGCCCAACAGCCCCAGAAGGCCCAGGAGATAGCCTATAAGTTGGAGGCTAAGAGAGGCCATGGCAGACCTCTCCAAAGAAATATCTTCAGGCCTTGTTCCTTCTTCTTCTGGCTGCAGCTCTTGATTTTTGGATTCCAGCCTCTAATCCCTCATTTCAGAGCATTACTGCTAGGCTGACTTCTTTCCTCCTTAGAAGAATCTGTGGGTGGCCACAAGCAGGCTCAAGAAGGCATCTAGAAGACCTAAAAAAATCCATAAACCAGATTAAATATTGACCAGAAGCTTATGAGAAACTAGAAAATGCTGGATGCCTTTTGACCTTTGTTATCTTTAGAAATAACACATGAGAAAGGAAGGAAAAAAAAAACTTTGAAAGTAGAGCCAAAATGTCAGCTCCTCCTGCGTAGGCACATGCTTTAGATTGGCAAATAGACAAAGCCAGGGGCCAGACAGGTGGCTGCTTTCCGAGAAGGTAGTGGCAGTTGTGACTATGTTAACTCTGGGTCAGGCTGTTGGCTGGCATGATTCTGTTTCAAAGGCTTGCTGTTTAACACATTGCCCAGCAACAGTGTCACGGGGCCCCTCAATTGCAGACCAAGGCCAAACTCCAGTATACTGAATCAGGAGTGCAGGTCCTAGCATATAGCCTTGGACTCCAGGTTATCAGACGCCTCCTGAATCTTTAAAGGCCTGTAGAGCAGTGGTCTGGCCCTGGGTCATCATGTCCAAGGTGAAAACAAATTCCAAGGAGTTGGGGCAAGCAAAAAACTTTCAGTGTATACTCTGAGAGTTCATGTCCTCACAGAAACCACCCAATTCCCCTTCCACTGGCTAACCTATGGCCTACTCAAGGTAGCAGAGTTCAGACATTTCCTATCTGCTTTCCTCAGAAATATCCATCAAGTTAGGTGATGTTGGAGGAATCAGGAAAAAACACATTGTTCCAGGGCCCAATGGACCCTGAAATTCTCAATAGTATTTTAGGGGGACTAGGGTGAAATAAGGATAGAGAAGGCATTCTGTAACAGAGGACTATGTGAAAGGCACAATTCTGAACTAATGCTTTTGAATTTCAGAATTTATCACAATTTTTTTTATGTTCCAGGAGTGCTCATTTTTTCCAATTTCAAGGCATTAGGGTCAAGGTCATGACACGTCCTTTCCCCACCGTTCCAGAGCCTCAAGCAATGGATTTTTAGACAAAAGTTTCAGCAATTTCATTTTTAGTCTTCAAGTTTTCTCTTTCTCCATTCATATCTTAAATGTGAGTATTTTCAGAAGCTCGTTCTTTATCTCAGTCAACACTGTAACTCAGAGCATACAGATCTACCCCCTGACTTCTCTCTTAGCTATCAATAGGTATTCCTTAATCTTTATTTCCAGTATAGAATTCCCAGACTGCCAGAGAAATAACCTATTTAGAATTTTCACTTGGAAGGCTGGAATGATAGTAAAGTAGGTATGACACTGGCCTTTTATGCAGATGACCCAGGTTGATCCCCAGTACCACATCTGATCTCCTGAGCCCACCAAGAATGATTCCTGAGCAGAGTCCAGAGTAAGCCCTGAGCACAGCCAAGCATGATCCAAAAAAACAAAACAAAACAAAAAAACAATGTTCAGGTGGAAATTTCACAGTATTTCAAATGTAACATTCTAAATAGAACTCATCCCCTATCCCATTGCACCCTCTCTAAATAGTTTCTTTTTGAATTCTCTTGGTCACCAAATGTCATCTCAGTGGATCAAAATCATAGGAGTAATCCTTGACAACTTCTTCATACTTATCCCTCACTCTCTCTGATTACTTTGCACCAATTCTATATCATGGTTATACCCCAGATACACAGAGCTCCTTTATCCATCCCCACTGCTGAGCCCTCATTTCAGAGTGGCATTGTCCTCTTTTCCATGAATTATAGAAATGGCTTCTTAACTGATCTTCCACTCTCACCTCCTCCAATTCATTACCCCAATGTTGCTAAAGTGATTTTTCAATGTATTAATCTGATCAAGTCACTTCTCTGAATAAAACATTCCTGCAGTTCCCTGTAGACTAAAGTCCAAACTCTTCATGATCTGTGATCTCTTAAACTTCCATATCTTACTATTGTCCTCCACATACCCTAACTCTTGCTGAGTCGAATTTTTCTTACTTGCTCAAACTTGGTTTTTGTTTCTAACCCAGAATTCAGCTGTCTTTTTATGTGGAATTTCTAACATTTGTCTCCCTCTATTTAACATTTGTCTTGTGCTTTAGGGTTCAGCTCAGATGTCTTTTCTCCTTGCCTGGGTAAAATGTTCCTCCTCTATGTCCTTATAGTAACTTGTGTTTACTTATAGCAAAAGTAACAAAGGTAATATATACTGTAAAGTGATTCCTATGTGACCATCATATGCCCTTGAAATGTGTTAACTCAACACAGTAACCCTTTATGATAGGTATAGATGAGAAATTGAGACACAGGTGATACTGAATTATACTACACTTCCTTGTTTAATTCCTTACTCTTCTTCACCAGTCTGAGTTATTTGAGATCAAGGGCTATTTACTACACATTTCTATATTAAGTTCCTTTCACAGGCATAACCCAGAAAAAAGTCCAAAAATTCATTTGTAAGTGACTGAATAAAAGTAGTAAAGACCAAATATTTCTGTTTGCATGGTGACAGGTGGGGGTATGGATTAGGGGTAGAGATAGAATATGGGAACACTGGTGGGGGGTTAATGTTGAGATGTTATATGCCTAAAACTCAACTATCAATAACTTTGTAAATCAGGTTCTTTAATTAAATAAAATTATGAAAATTAAAAATAAGTACATAAAATTAAAATAAGAAAAATAGTTAATACTGAGGCTTGAGAACAATAAGATATTACTTTTCTAAATTAATGAGTGACACATAGGAGTAAGAAACCAGAGCCACCTTAGAAAATATTGATAGGGTATCCAAAGAGGACAAGGAAGGAGAGGGAATGGAGAGGAAAAGACACAAAGAGAACAAACACAGAAAAGTAGAATAGAAGAGAGAAAATAACAAAACCATTTTATATGTATATAAAGTACCATTTTATATGTATATAAATTTGCTGAAAATGTATCTCTTGTATCCAATTCTAAACACTTTGAAGGAAGAGACAGTATATTAAGCTTCTGTAGCAGCACTGGCACATAGTGGATAGTCATCACTGATGAATATGGCAATGCCAGTGTTGATGCAAAGCAACATGGACTGAAGCCAATGAAACATTTGCTCATTGGTGGGGAAGGAAATCTAGCTTGAATCTCTGTCATTTACTCCATGTGATGCCAAGCAAGTCCTTTCTAGGCATTGGTTTTCTTACTGTCAACATGAACACAATTCTACCTTTCCTCACCAAAACTATACATCATCCAGGAGCCTTCAATGCTGCTTGGCAGTCCTTATACCGCTCCTTGTGACAACTGCAGGTACTTTTGTATTCTTTACCCTACCTTTCCACGCTCTGTAGTTTGTATCCTGTATTGAATGTTGTCTTCACAAACAGGAGTCTTAGACAAACCCTTTAATGCTGATGTTTCTACCTCTTCGCCATTCACTTCTATATTCAGACTTATTTCATTAATTTTACACTAAAAATTTTATCAATGGGGTTATCAACAATTCCATGATCCCAAACCCAAATATGAAAGTGATCATAAGAGAAGAGTCTGTATCCAGAGGCAGATCTGACTTGGTAGGAAAAGGATTAGGAAAAGGGTTGAAAAATGGTTTGGGGCAGTAAGGGTAGAGTCACATAATGTCATCACTGAGGCTTGGACTCTTTAGTCTGAGTTGGCATAGATGGGCAGGAGGAAGAACAAATTTTTGGAGTTTATTCAACTGAAAGAAATGGCCCAATGGGAATAGCATTTAGCTAGGGTCAGGAAGGCAAGGGTGAACAAAAAAGCAGATGATTGGGTAGTTGGGTTAGGTTATATTTTTTGTTTGCATATGAGCAGTAAAGAGTTTAGAGATCTGAAGACTACCTTCCCATCTCTGTTCAACCTGGAACCAGTTGAGGAAGTTCCCTCACTTATCCAGGTCCTGAGAATGAATTTGCTTATCTCCAATTTTGAGTCTCAAATAAGGTAACAAGGAAAGGAAAGTCACTTTGGCCAATGTAGGCGACTAAGCAGCTGTTATTAGAAGCAGGCATCTTTAAACTATTCTCTTTAAGGAGATCATCCTAGAAGTAAAGCCTGGCTACTTGGAAGAAACAGAAATCTAAACCTGACCAGCTGAATCTGACTTCTGGGCTTGGGGCCAACACACCCCAGGGTCCAAAGGCTGAACAAGAAGGTTTCATTTAGGATCCTTACCTAATCTTCCTTAGTGGAGGGATTGAAAAGGCAGAAGAGGATTAGGAGAGTCAGGACTGACAGCAGCTCCTGAATTAACTCCTTCTTGCCTGGGCAATTGCCCCGCTAAACTCTTCATTCCTTGTTCTAAGAGTTGTGCACATTTCTCCATTTGGGGCACCCACAGAAGATTGAGTGGATCAGAACAAATTGGGTTGTCAAGTCCAGAAAGGACTTACATAAGCATCCATTGGAGGATGGAGTCCTCATTTCTCCATCTCTTGGTCTCAAAGTCATTCAGAGGTATCAGAGATTCCTTCCCACTTCTGGGAGCTTTGGCAAGTGGCAAAACCATTCCCTTGGAGCCCTAAACTTTATAAACTGCTTTGTGGACAAAGTAAAAGTTTGTCTTTGGCGTAGTTCACCTTACTTCTGCATCAATTGAGGACAATTTGAGGGACAAAAGGAGAACCTGGGAGACTTTCTTCCTTAAAAAGATGAGTTTTGTCATAGTGATCAGAAAAGCCTCTCACTTTAGAATTCTAGAAGACACTAAAGGTCAGAATGTAGAAAACAGTCATTACCCATAATCCCCAATTTATTTTGCTATAAGTGTTTTATTTCCAACTTCATTTTCAAAAGGATACATGAGAATAATTTCACTGTACACTTGTAACTGCAATTGGGCTCTAATTGACATGTCACATTGTATTTGTTAGCGTTTAACAGCATAACAATTTGATACATGGACATATTGCAAAATGATCACCACAATAAGTTTGGTTACTATCACCATGCACAATCAGTATTTTTTGCTTTTCTTGTGACAAGAGTTTTAAAGATCTTCTTACCAGCTCTTTCTTTTACAGTGCCAGGTTATGAACTGTAGTCTCTGTACTAAAATTACATCCTCAGGAATTGTTCATTTTATTACTGGAAGTTTGTCCTTTTGACCACCTTTATCCATCATCCTGATGTCCTATTTTTGGCTCCTGGGCAATAGCCAACCCGGTTTTTTGCATCTATGAAATTGATTGTTGTTTTAAATTTAATATTAAACTGAGTTCCTATGTTGTTTTTATGTGATTTCTTTTGCTTAGCTTAATGCCCTCAAAATCTATCCATGTCATGGAGAAGGGCAGGATTCCCTTCAAAGAAGGACTCTCTCATGACAGACTTACAAACAAGTGGAGGAACATTAAAGTCTCAAGGAAGACTTTATAATGATTCAGAAATCCATACTCTTTGGACTCCGTGAATCTTTATGCTAAGATAGAGGCACTGGAGCTGACTATGAGGGAGCACCCCTTCTTACTCTCCTCAATTCCACCGTTAGGGTCAACTGTAAGGGGAACTGTAGTTCCTTTCCTTGCATCCAGATATAATTCTGGGCTTTTTTGTCCTTAAATGCTCCATTGTAAATGATCTGATTTGGAGAGTACCGCATTGGCCCTGCGGGCTCAGGGGCTGGAAACTGTGTGGTGCACTTAAGGAAACAAACGTTGCCAACCTATATGCCACCTCAATTTTACTTCTCATACCCTCACCTCAGAAACCCAAGATGGCCTAGCCTGGCTGCATCACTGGCCAAATTGTGAACAAGTAGAAAGCAATAACCCACCTAAATGAACACAAAAGTCAGCAAATAAATTAGAATTGAAACACTTACAAAGCAGTTTTCTTTGCAGAACCTTGGAGGTTGCTGTGCCTGGAAAGAATAGAAAGAATCTTGAGTACTGGAGAAAGGTACACTGGGACCCAGGTGAAGGTGATAAAGGCTTTCTAATTGTTAGCCACAGCTTTGCAAAATCCATCTGCAAATCTCACCCTTGGGTCAGAGACTTATTACAGATCAGAATTAAACCCCTGGAGGCTATGGAAGATTGAGGTACTAAAAGGAAAAAAAACTTGGGTGAGATTTTTGTTTTTCCTGTCAAAAACTCCAGCTGGGCTTTTGTGTGGTGACCTCTGAGAGCCCAGGAGAAGCCTTGTGGGGGAGTGGGGTTTGGTCCAAAGAAGAATTCAGAACATTCCAGTTTTGTAGGTGGGGAAAGAAGGGGGACTCTGTTACTGTTAGGTGTCTCTGGCTGGCAGCCCTGAATCCCAGCAGGAAGTATGCCTCATAAACAGCCCCCTTGAGCCAAGCAAACCTTCAATGCCAACAGCTCTGCAGACTCTTCCACCCGACTTGGTTCTCCAACAAGTTCCAAACCCTAGTCCACCCCCAAGATTGGTCACGGGGCACTGGAAAAACATGTGTTCTGCCGGTTCTGACTCTAGTATGCTCAGGGTGTAGATCCTTAAAAAAGGACTGGCCATGATGACCATGATAACCATTGGCCATCCCTTTGCAATCACGGTCAGCTTTTATCATACATACTCTGCATCACTTTTGACTCTTTTTGGGGTCTGTGTATCACACATGAGCTTAGTCTTGGTTCTGACATTTGGCATCACTCCTGGTGAGCTCAGGGAACTGTGTGTGGTGCCAGGGATCAAGCCCAGATCTGCCGAATGCAAGGCAAACATCCTACCCGCTGTACTATGGCTCTAACCTGAATCACTTGAGACTCTTAGAAGTGCCATGTAGTGGCATACAGAAATTGGCTTTCTTCTGATGGAAAACGATGTTTCTTGGTCATTTTTTTCTCATAAAAACATATTAGAGGCTTTTGCAAAAAATACATTGTAGCACTGTCCTCCCATTGGTCATTGATTTGCTCGAGCGGGCCCAATAACATCTCCGTTGTGAGACTTGTTGTTACTGTGTCTGGCACATCAAATACGTCATGAGTAGCTTGCCAGGCTTTGTCGTGTGGGTAAGCTACTCTTGGTAGCTTGCCCAGCTCTCCGAGAGGGGCGGAAAATCGAACTCAGGTCAGCCGGGTGCAAAGCAAACGCCCTACCCGTTGTGCTATCACAAAACACAAGATCTATAAATAGAAAAGTAGATGTCCTCATAATACCACCAGTAAAAGATATAATGCGGACCACCATAAGCATTTTGATATGCTATAGATGACATGAATAGAAGTATTTCTTAAAAATAAAATAACATTATATTCTAAAATTATCTGATTTCCTATTATTTCTAAATAATTTGATGATATGGCGTTGGCATTCTCTATTTCCATGTCAATTAAAATTCAGAACTATATTATTCTCTCATAATAGCACTGTTTTCTATCACACACTATCAAGCCATTAACTCATTACGCACTTTCGTATTTCGCTTTTCACTCTTATAACCTAATATTATTCTCTCATAATCACAGTCTCCTATCTTATAGAAATGTATCATCAAGCCACTAATTTATTAGGTAACTTCATATTTCCCTTTTCACACTTATAACCTAATATCTTTGCATATAATAATTACAAGTTCCTAGTAATAGACTTCCTAGGTCTAATTTAAAAGTCTTACAATAAATTGCAAGAGTAGAGTAGCTATTGCTTTTCATATATTAGATATGCCTATTACAATGTAGTGGAATTAATGAATTAGCCATCATTTCTGTTGAACAGTAATAGACTTGACACCTTAGTTTCTAGATATCTGGCTCAGTAAACTTTAAACTTTAAAGCGTACACACAAAGCACCAACTCTTTCCCAGTGATTCCCATGTAGAAATGATAAAGCCAGCAGTATTGAGTAGGGAGGACACAATTCATCCAACACTTTCCACAGTGCTGAGGGTTTTTAGACACACTGTCTCATTGAGCTACTGCAGAGGAAAGTCAGGCTTGAAACAACTCTTGAGCTTGGCTTTTAATAATTGTGTTTTAGCCCATTGTTCAAATAATAATAAATTGAGGGTCATGTGTTGCTGAATGTGAGTTCAGTGAAGCAAACTAGAAATCCTCCCCTTCTCCAAGATGACCCATATAATGCACTTGTGAATAGGGAATGACTTCCTCACTCCGATTCCATCTTTTTTAATTTTTTATTTTAATGAATCACCGTTGAGATACAGTTACAGACTTACAAACTTTCATGATTGCTTTTCAGTCAAACAATGTTCAAATACCCATCCCTCCACCAGTGCCCATTCTCCACCACCAATATTCCCAGTATCCTTCCCCCTACCCCCACCCATTTTCATCCCCTGCCTCCATGGCAGGCACATTTCCTCTTATTCTCTCTCTCCTTTGGGGTGTTATGGTTTGCAATACAAGTACTAAGCGGCCATCATGTTTGACCCATAGTCTATTTTCAGCATGCATCTACCATCCCAAGCAATCCCTCCAACCATCATTCACTTAGTGGTCCCTTCTCTGTCCCTTCTGCCTTTTAACCCAGCATATGAGATCGGTTTCCAAGCCATGGAGTGATCCTCCAGATCCTTTTCTCTACTATCCTTAGGTGTTAGTCTCATATCATGCTACTTTATATTCCACAAATGAGTGCAGTCCTGTTCACAATAGTCCAAATCTGGAAACAATCCAAGTGCCCTAGAACAGATTTCTGGTTAAAGAAACTTTGGTACATCTACACAATGGAATACTATGCAGCTTTTAGGAGAGATGGAATCATAAACTTTGCTTATAAATGGATATACATGAAGAGTATCATGCTAAGTGAAATGAGTCAGAAAGAGAGGGACAGATGTAGAAGGACTGCACTCATTTGTGGAGTATAAAACAACATAACATGAGGCTGACACCTAAGGATAGTAGATACATGGGACAGGAAGATTTCTTCATAGCTGGAAGCTTGCCTCATGAGTGGAGGGGAGAAGGCAGCTGGAATAGAGAAGGGTTCACTAAGAAAATGATGGCCTGAAGAACCGGTCGGGATGGGTGATGTGTGTTGAAAGTAGATAAAGGACCAAACATGATAACCTCTCAGTGTCTGTATTGCAAACCAGAATTCCCCAAAACAGAGAGAGAGTATGGGGAATATTATCTGTCATGGAGGCAGGGGAAAGGTGGGAAAGGGGGGATATACCAGGGATATTGGTGGTAGAGAATGTGCACTGGTGGAGGGATGGGTGTTTGATCATTGTGTGATTGTAACCTAAACATGAAAACTTGTAACTATCTCACGGTGATACAGTAAAATTTAAAAAAAAAGAAAAATCATGTCTGAGTTTCAAGCCTAAGGAATTTTGGTCATAAAAAATGAAAGTAAGCAAAACTGAAAGGGTGGGAGGGGTACCAGGCTTATCTTCTAGCCAGTTGTACTACCTGGGAAAGTCTTCAAATTTTGTTTTTCCAGGCTTTGCCAATTGATTTTCTAAAGCTGGGATAATGCACATGAAAGTATTTTGACAAGTAGACTATTCTTGTTGTGTGAAAGATAGAATGTGTGGTGGAGGGGCACCTTATCAGCTTACAGTGACTATGTGCAATTGAGGACAGGGAAAAGCAGAATCGTGGGGGCAGGTGCCAGGGCGGATAAGGGCATTGCGTTGGCAGGATGTGGTTACCAGATTGGCAATTACTCAAGGACTAGGTTCTAACTCTTTGTTTTCTATAGGCGGGCACTGTCAGATCCTGTTGGAAACAAGCCAAAGACTATGACTCCTCAGTATTGAGCCTGGAGGCTCTTTAGTCATCTGCTAAGATCCCTGATAAGATCAAACGTGTATAGATATTTTGGGGAATGGAGTGAGGAGTGAAAGAATACAGGAAAGAATAATAGGGAAAAGCAGTATCTCATTAAGAAGACTGAATAATAAGAAAATCAAGGAAGATAAGGGTGTGGGAAGGGATGGGCTGAGGAAGAGAGCAGTTAAAGTAGGAAAGGGATCTTAGAGGAAGAAAAGCTAAGAGAAATTTGAATAAAACAAGATTCCGAAGGAGATGGAGGAGATGATGCTATGAAAAAGAAATACAAGGATAAAATATAAGAGGAAAGGGGCAGGCCTCTATGAGGGGTTATATCTAAGGCAGAAAGGGGACTAGGAACATTCTATCCTTGCCAGTCTAACAAACCAGGTTCTTACCAAGGTAGCAAATGAGCCATAAGTCACCAATATAATTGGAAAACGACCATTTTCCAGTCCTCCACTTTGCTGACCTTTATGTACCAGCACCCTTCATGGCTTTGCCTTTCTTGAAATGTTTTCTTCTCTTAACCTATGTGGTATAACTCCCCTGGATGATCCGCCTATATCTATTTTCTTCATTGATTTCTCCTCAGACACTCCCTTAAATATGGTCCTTCTTAGAGCCTGAACATAGGTCTTCTTCCCTTTTTATTTGATATTCCCACTCTCAGAAGTTTCATTTATTGCCATTCGTTTTGATTACCTTAATAACTTCCAAATTGTCCCTTTATGTCCAGATTTCTTTGCACTTCAGACCTCTATATACTTCTGTTTGGATAGCTCAAAATTGTCTCAAATCCAATATGTCCAAAACTGTATGCTGGATTCCTTTTTAAAAAATCAATCCGCTCTCAGTCCTCTCCATCACAGAAAGGCATAATTCAAGCTAGAAATATCAGTCAGAGTTAATTTTACACATTTTCTCTTTGTCTCATACAATACAATCCATTTTATCTAGAAATCTTCCCAATCTTACACACAAAGTATAGCTCTTTCATCCATTTACTGGATTCTCATGTGAAAATGATACCTCTGTAACTGTTACTACCACTTCTCAAAATATTTAGTTTTAAACCACTTTTAAGAATTATTTAAAAGGGGTCAAAGTGATAGTACAGCAGACAGGGCTCTTGCCTTGCACATGGCTGACCCAGTT